GAAAAAGGAAATGTGCACATAGAGGAAAGGCTAGGCACAGACAGAGAAGGGCTGTAGATGTAACCATCTTTTTAAATAAGAAACACAGAGCTGATTGCAGAGTTTAAAAGCCCAAGAGGTCAGAGCAATAGCTAAGAGCTAAAAACCTTACCCTTCACTGCCGCTGCTGTCCTCCTCAGCCAGAGCACTACTTCCTGTGTGTCTGTCTTCTTATAGACTTTCTGTTCTGCCTTCTCATTGATTGTAAACCCAACCACATGACCTCCTCATCACTGCCCATCTATACAGACCTCCAGATCTTCTATGGTTGGTATTGAGATTAAAAGCATGTGTCTCCATGCTGGCTGTATCCTTGAACACACAGAGATCTGCCTGTCATGTGATCGGGATTAAGGGTGTGTGCTACCACTGCCAGACTTCTGCTATGGCTTGCTATTAGCTCTGATCCTCAGGCAACTTTATTTATTAACATACAAATACAATCACATTTCAGTACAAATAAAATATCACCATAAAGGGCCATATTCAAGCCAGAGGGCCTGCAGACACCTTGGTCTTCACTTCACATCTCCAGAATGCTCACAAATTAATGTGGTTTTTTTAGCCAAGTCTGTGACATGGCATCATGTCTGTGACATGGCAGCTGTACACCAGACTGGTCCACTAGCTGACCTACTATTGAGACACCAGGTTCAGAACAAAAGTATCTTCTGACACGTTGACCTCACAAAAGACATCTTTGAGAAGCCTTTCTGAGGAATATACTTTGGGCTGTACCTCACCAAATAAAGCAAGTAGAAACAGCTGGAGCCAGTGGTGGTTCACACCTGTAACTCGAGCACTTACGAGGCTGAGGCAGATTAAAAGTTAAAGGCCAATGTGGGCTAGAGAGCAAGAAACCACTAGCCCTAGCTTGAAATACACTCTTCAAACCTGAAACTGGTCAGTCTGTTGTGATCGGATGGACAGAGGAGGGAAGTCAGAGCACAGGAGGCCATGTGGCAGAGGACTGCATTCTGAAGTGCACATGTGCTCTGCCCTTGTGTGCTTGTCATCATGTAAACACTGAATTGCACACTTAGAGGTGCACACAGTGTGTGTGAAGATGGGTTTTGGAAATTGCAGATTCCTCTACCATAGGAAACCAAGAGATAATGCCTCAGCTCTCCAGTGGTTAAAAACGTGATGAGGGGAAAATCCTGCTGTGCTTTTTTGCAATGCTGAAGAAACAAACTTTGCTGCTTGTGAAAGAATTGATTGGTAGTGTTTTTTTATGGTTGGTTGGTCTGTGTATAAAGAGCTTTTTAAAATATAATATAAAAGTATAAAATAATCCAGAATTCCCTTCCAGGAAACAAACAAACAAAACAAAACAGAGCTGTGTGCAGAGAGGAAGCTGCTTATCACAGCAGCTTAGGTATCATTGCCCTGGAAGTTAGAAACCCGGGTCTGGGATTTGGGGATCAAGTAAACACATGTGCAGGAAAGTGACTGGAAATAACTTTGGGTTGGTGAAGTGGAGGGTGATTTTTCTCTTGGAGTGTTAGACTTTTTACATTGGAAGTGATTGTTGTGGGGCTGGAGAGGGCGCTGACTCACAGGACCTGGATTCAGTTCCCAACACCCACATGGTAGCTCAAAACCATCTGTAACTCTGGTCCTGGGGGAATCTTGTGCCCTCTCCTGGCCTCTGTGGGCACTGCATGCATGTTTTACACAAATATATGTAGGCAGAACACCCATACACATAAAAATTTTAAGATACAAAATGATTATTATGTAAAAGGTCCTCAAATTATCATGGTTCAATTTATAATTTTTCAACTTTCTAGTGATGTGAAAGTGATAGATGTTCAATGGAAACTGTACCTAGAGTTTTGAATTTTGATAATTTCCTGGGCTAATAAGTGGTGTGATCCTTCTGAGTGCAGCATGACAGCAAGGAGCCACAGGTTCCCTTCCCTCCACATGGGCACAAGGGGGCGCCACCAGAACACTGCTGTGGCGTGTAGTTGAGCTGGGGTGCTTGGAAGGGAGATGTAGGAAATGCCTTTTCACCTAAATGATAACTTAAGCTGAAAATGGCTTATCAAGACATCACCCTCCACATTGGAGAAGTTGTGCAGTAAGTCTAAAAAGTCACAGCTGTGATTGTGGGTTTCTCAATGCCATAAAATCCAGACATTTGATGTATGTGTGTGTAAGATTGTGTGAAGATGTGCTCTGTGTGCATGTGCCCTGGGAGCCCAGAAGAGGGAGTCAAATCCCTTGGAGTTGGAGTTACAGGTAATTGTGAGCTGCCCAGCGTGGAGGCTAGGAACTGAATCTGGGTCCTCTAAAAGAGCAACACACACTTTTAACCACTGAGCATCTCTCCAGCCCTCCAGAGGCATTTCTTATTATGAATAATGGAGTAGGGAAAGTAGATAGAAGACACAAGTCCATAGAATAAAGCAATTATTGTAAACTTTGAGGAGTTTCTGAAAATAATATCCTGTTTTTACACCTAGGATGAAGCTGGGGGCAGATTTGTTGCTTTCTCTGGAGAAGGACAGTCGCTGCGGAAGAAGGGGAGAAAGCCTTAAGTCCAAAACTGTCGGCTGGCTGGAAAATAAAGATCGTTTGCAACACACTGGCTTATAGTTACTGCCTCTGACAAGTTCAGAGAATGCTTATTTAGGGTTTGTTTATAGAGTTACCTGCAAAACAGCAGAACTGGAGGTTGTGCGCTTAACTTGGGAAGAGAAATCGCTCTCGGGTCCCATAGGTGGCCACCTCCTCTACTTCATGCATTCTGCTCCAGGGCTCCCCCAGGCCTTGCAGACCAGTTCCCCTTCCTGCCTTGATCTTCCTTCCTAGGTCAGCATAGGGCAGTGTCTTCAGAAGATTACAGCTACTCAGGCCAGGAGCTAAGTACCTGACAAAGATGGTCTCTGCCTTTATTTATAGTCTTCAGAAGGGATCTCATCCAGACAAATTCATCCTCATTTTGATCTGCTGGCTGTCAGTGAATTCCATGGGGAAGCCAAATGTGGAAGTTGGAATGAATAAATGCTGAAGTTATGCCCCCCTATTGCAATTTTATTTATTACCCAAAGTTCTGATAGTTTGTCTGTTTTTGAATTAAAACCTCATGAATATTAAGCATGCCACATACTCTGCCCATTTTCTTACTGTTTTATTGTCCTCACATCTGCACTTTGTATGATGTAAGATCTTTTGACATGCTGATCCAATTATTTAAAATTTGTTCCTTGAGAATAATTCTTATTCAAGAATTAAATAAACTGATTAAAACTCACCTCTAGCTGTTTGATTTGGTAGTTTGGGCCACTAGCCAGAAGTCACAGGAATGCCCACTTACAGCAGCCTCACACCTCATCCTGTCATTAGAAGACTGCACCTCTGAGATTTGTGGAGATGGTGGGGACAAATGACAGTCCCTAACACTTGCAGTGGGGATGGTCAGGCCTAAGGGTCCCCATGGAGGATGCACTCTTCCTATAGGATGATGACCAGAGTGTGTCCATTCACTCTTAGAAATATCCATAAACATCATGATAATTGGCTCCTGTTGTTAGTTGTTTTCTTACTCTTTGGGGGGCCTGCCACCCAGCTCCCAAATAAATCACACACAGAGGCTTATTAATTGTAAATGTCTGGCCTTAGCTTGGCTTGTTTCTTGCTAGCTTTCCTTAAATTGTCTCATCTACCTTTTGCCTCTGGACTTCTGTTCTCTAACTTCTGCAAATGTTACTCTTACTCCATGGCTTGCTGTGTAGCTGGGTGGCTGTCTCCTGGAGTCCTCCTTCCTCTCTTGTTCCTTGATCTTTTCTCTTCCCAGATTTCTCCCTTTATGTAATCTTTATACCTATCCTTCCTCCTGTCTTGCCATTGGCCATTCGGTTCTTTATTAGGCCATCAGGTGTTTCAGACAGGCACAGTAACACAGCTTCACAGAGTTAAACAAATGCATCATAAAAATAAGTAACACACCTTAAAATATTACTCCCCAACATCTTGTCTCTGTGACACATACATCACCATTGGCCAAATGTGGCTTTGGAAGGCATAAGTGCTGCAACCTGTCAGGCTGGAAAGATGGTGCAGTAACTTGTTCTTGCAGAGGATGCAGGTTTGGCTCCCAGCACCCACAAGGTAGTTCACAGCCATCTAATTCCAGAGATCTCTGCACACACGGTGCATATATTTATTATACATCAAACGAATGTATCTAATGTGGCCGTGGTGGTGCATGCCTTTAATCCTAGCACTCAGGAGACAGAGGCATATGGAGCTCTGTGAGTTCAAGGCCAGCCTGGTCTACAGAGCAAGTTGCAGGACAGCCAGTTGTTAGACAAATACTGTCTCGAAAAAGAAAAAAACAAAAAGAACCCCAAAGTGTATGTGACTGCGTGTGCAGGTATGTGCATGTGGGGATTAGAGTACCGTTCTCAGGAGTACCTTCTGCCACCTGGAGAGATACAGGAATCAAACTCAGGTCCTCATCTCACCTTGATGGACATTAGCCTCCAGTTAGCTTTAGTTCCCCCCTCCCTCCCTCCCTGCCCCCCTCTCTCTCATGTAGGGGTGTTTTGCCTGCATATGTGTTTGTACATTACCTGTGTGCCTGGCGCCTGCCTAACCCAGAAGAGGGCATTGGATCCCCTGGAACTGGAGTTTGAGATGGTTGTGAGCTGCCATGTGGGTGCTGGGAATCGAAGGCAGCCAGTGTTAACTGTGAGCCATCTTTCAAGCCCCATAAATTGGCTCTTTTTTTGTTGTTTTAGAGACAGGTTCTCATAATATATTCCCGGCTGGCCTGGAACCCACAGAGATGCCCCTGCTTTGATCCCGAGTGCTGGGATTAAAGGTGTGTACCGCTGAGCCTGCCTTCTCTAGAACTCTCACCCTTAGCCACCCCACACCCATTCCCTCCTCTCCTTACACCGGATCAAGCTCATCTACACCCTCAGTGTATGCTCAGACCAGATCCCTGTAGTCTGAGACCTCCAGGTGGGCTATTTGGAGTTCAAGAGTCTGTACTTGCAAAGCTGAACCACATTAAGATTTGAAAAATAAAAACCGGGAGAGCTGGCCGGAACTGCAGGGTTCCAGACTGTCAATGACAAAGCTCTGAAGCCAAGACCCCAGGTGGTGAGGCCTCTGACAATCGGCCACTCAGTGAAGACGTCCTGTTTAGCTGCGAATTTACTTGGACCTCATTGGCTCATGTCTCTGTCAGTCACACGGGGCCTGGACATGGCGGTCGCCGGCCGCTGGCAGGTGAGTGTGCTGGGCTGCTGGGCTAGGTGGGGTGTGGCGATCGTGTCTGCCCGCGCTCACGCTGTCCCTCCCCGCAGCCTCCCCGGCCCTGCGAGGTCTACCGCGCCGAGTGGGAGCTCTGCCGCAGCGCCGGGCACCTCCTACACCACTACTACGTCCACGGCGAGCGGCCGGACTGCAGGCAGTGGCTGCGCGACCTGGCCAGCTGCCGCGAGTGGGAGGAGAGCCGCAGCCCGCAGGCCCAGGTGAGCGCAGGGTGTGGGCGTGCGCACAGAGCCTTCGGGGACATCCCCCTCGTGCTTCCCTCCTGAGAAGTACCCCAAACTGCTGTATCGAAGGGACTTCAGACCGCGTCAAATACAAAGAGGGAGGCAGAAAAAAGGAGGCACAGAGGGGCTTGGGGTGGGGGTTGGGGGGACAACCGCCCAGCGTTAGGGTCATCAGCGGGCCCTTGGGGACAGGACGGAGGATGAAAAGAGCCAAGGTGCCTGGAGCATGAGGGTGGGCTGTAGAGGACATAGGAATGAGCCTGGGAGTACCTAAAAACGTTCAAGCACGTGTGATCGGAGCTACCTTCGGAAGGCAGTACTGGGGCTGGACCGTCTCTGGGGAGGTGTGAAGAAACCTCTACTTACTCTGAAAAGCGTGTGGAATGACGGACCAAAGAAAGGCTTCCACTTCATCTAGCATGGTGGACCAATGACTTTGTTGGGTGACTCAAAAGGCAGCAGCATTACCTGAAGGCCCAGCATGAGTGATCCCTTAAGCTCCGCGGACGCCTTCTGAGCAGCCCTAGAGTCCTCTCCCAGCCACTGTTACTGCTTTTATAGATTTGGGTAGGAGGCTGGTGAATTTTTAACTCTCTGAGCTTCTTGCTCCTACATTTCCTGTGCTTCCTGAGCCGGTGAGCCTCCCTCCTCCCTCCAGGTGGGAGTGATGCAAAGCCTGGGAACGAGCTAAGACACAGGTGGTTCCCGGTGTCCATTCGTTACACAAATAGTTGTCTCCTTGGGCGATCTCTGATACAGGGTGATCGGGGGAGCCCTGCCTTCCTGGGGCACATTCCAGTCTGGAGTATGGTATTGCTTTCGTGGGCAGTGTGATGGGGACAAGGGGAGTCCAGGACACAGAGTCCCTCTCCTCGCCAGCAGAGGGAGGTCAAGGAGCAAGAGGTTAGGTGTTGAAAACATTCCTAAACATTCTGAAACAGACAGACTGATGTGGAAAAAAAGCTGCTGAAACTTTTTTTCCCCCCCAAGACAGGGTTTCTCTGTGTAGCTTTGGTGCCTGTCCCAGATCTTGCTCTGTAGATCAGGCTGGCCTTGAGCTCACAGAGATCCGCCTGGCTCTGCCTCCTGAGTGCTGGGATTAAAGAAAGGCCTGTGCCACCACCACCTGGCCCTGAAACATTTTTAAAAATCGCAGAAAACAGAAACATGGCAACCCCCTAATAAGTGAAAGTAAAAAACATGGCAGAAAGCGTGTTTGTATGGCAAGAAACTGGAAACTTACTGTCCGTAACTATATATGAACTATCATAAATAAAGGTAAAAAGCAAAGATGCCTCTGAATAGAGAAATGGACAAAGGTTACAGATAAGCAATTCACCATGAAATCAGAATACAGAAGCAATTATTTCTGTACAATTGTTAAAGTACTTTTATTCTTATTTTTTTTTTTTTTTTTTTTTTTTTTTTTTTTTTTTTTTTTTGGTTTTTCGAGACAGGGTTTCTCTGTGTAGCTTTGCGCCTTTCCTGGAACTCGCTTTGGAGACCAGGCTGGCCTCGAACTCACAGAGATCCGCCTGGCTCTGCCTCCCAAGTGCTGGGATTAAAGGCGTGCGCCACCACCGCCCGGCTTTTTATTCTTATTTTATGTGTGTTTTGCTTGCATATGTCTGTACTATGTGCATACACTGCCTGAGGATCCCCTGGAACTGAGTTTCAGATGGTTGTGAGCTGCCATGTGGGTGCTCGGAATCAAACCCCAGTCCTCTGTAAGAGCAGTCAGTGATTTTAACTGCTGAGCCATCTCTCCAGCCCCTATGAAGTTAGAAAAAAAAAAAAGTCTTTGTATAGTATGGATGTGTTGTTGCATGCATGTATATTCGGTGCACACATTGCATGCAGCGGCCCTCTGCTGGCATCAGGCATCTTCCCAACCAATCAGGTGGGGACCTGATTTACTGAAGCAGGATCTCTCTGAGCCTGGACTTCCTTCCCTGTCTCCACCTCCTGAGTTCTGGGATAACAGGCATGTACCAACATACTCAACTTCTGTTTGCCTCTTAAACAATAATGACCTTTTTAGAGACAGGATCTGGCTATATAGCCCAAGCTGGTTTGAAACTTCAGATCCTTTTGGCTCTGTCTGCCAACTTCTGCCAATACAGCTAGTCACTACCACTCCCAGTTTAAGAGGCCTACATAGCACCTGACACCTCACCAGGGACACCCCTGTCATAATAAGGGGGACCTTTTACACAGAGTCCAACAGTAACTTTGGACTGCTGTCTCTTCCTCACTGCGTGTCCCCACCCTCAGGCTTGCTCCATACTCTCCAGGTCTGCTGTAGCTGAGGCCTAGGAGATGCTTTTAAATGGCTGAAGTCAGAGACTGGACATGGCTGTGCATGCTTATGATCCCAGCACTCGGGAGGTGGAGGCATCAATATCAGAAAGTGAAGGTCATACATAGTGATCTTGAGGCCAGTCTGGGCTGCTTGAGACTCTGTCTAAAAAACCAAAGAGCACAATAAAATTGCTGGTTAAGGTGAAAAATGAAGATGACCTGGGCTGCAGAGAAAGCGTGGCCTAGCTGTGTGTGTGCTAAAATGGAACGGTTCTCAAGGTGTGTTATGTAGAAGCAGCTGAGCTACGGATCTGTGTGGACCATATGTTCCCATTTGTTCCTCTCTTCAGAAAAGTGCTGAGGAAGAGGGTGGGATGGGTACCATGTGACAGTACCAGGGGTGCTGGGATTCTGTTGTGAGGCAGTAAGTGACCAGAATCTCCTTTGTACAGCGATCGCTCTGTGAGAGTGAGCAGGCACGGGTCCAGGCTGCACAGAAGCAGACTCTGGTGTGGGCTTTGAGGCAGAGACCCCCTGCAGACTGGAATCTCCCTCTGCCACAGGAGAAGGACAAGTGATGAGTGACAAGCAATTGCAAGCGGGCTCTTGACCTGGACTTTGACCTGGAATACATGGACGGCATTCCAGCTCTAACTGACTGTTGCCCACCTGCATCCGGGCATCACGCCACTGTGATACTCTGAAAGACACCTGTGTCCACAATCCCAGGAAGCCAAGCACTGTGGCGGGTACCTGTGAACAGCCAGGTTGGTCCATCGTGTCCATGCCACCTCCCCTGAGAACACCCACACTGGAGGTGGCAGTCCTGAGGTGTGAGAGCCTCAGGTACACAGTGGCAGCCCTGACCTGTGTGGATACGTGGCACAGGAGTCAGAAAGGTTGCTACATGGTTCTGCTGCAAATGGCTCTTTTTGATCAAGAGAAATGGACCTCCATGTCTTGGGTTTGGTGATTACTGAGTTATTAAAGCATGGCGCTTGGATACTTGCTCAGCTACGCTGGAGATACAGTAGAGCATGCTCAGTGGGCAGGGCAACTTGCCCCTCTGCATCAGCAACTTTTACTGATTTTACAGACTTTTAAAAAGAAATACACACAGCCTTGCAGGAACCACAGAACCTGGGGTCAAGAAATCCAAGTCCCAAGCAGAAAGTCAGACTTCAAGTCCAAAGAATATGGGACTGAGGCCTCCTGATTCCTCCTCGTCATGAATGTATTAAAAGCTGTTTCGCATGTTCCATTCCAAAAGCAACCTGAAAATTAAAGCCACGTTTGTTACAATTTCTACCTGTCCTAGTTAGGGTATCAATTGCTTCGATGAAACACCGTGACCAAAAGCAAGTTGGGGAGGAAATGGTTTATTTAGCTTATACTTCCAGATTGTAGTCCATCATTGGAGGGAGTCAGGACAGGAACTCAAACAGGGCAGGAATCTGGAGTCAGGCACTGATGATGCAGAGGCCATGGAGGGTGCTGCTTACTGTCCTGCTCTCCATGGCTTGTGCAGCCTGCTTTCTTATTAAACCCAAGACAACTAGCCTAGGGATGACACCACTAACAATGAGCTGGGCCCTCATCCATTAATCACTAATTAAGAAAATGCCCACTGGGTGGTAGTGGCGCACGCCTTTAATCCCAGCACTCAGGAGGCAGAGGCAGAGGCAGAGGCAGATGGATCTCTGTGAATTTGAGGTCAGCCTAGTCTACAGAGTGAGTTTCAGGACAGCCAGGGTTACACAGAGAAACCCTGTCTCAAAAAACAAAACAAATGCCCTACAGCTGGAACTTATGGAGGCATTTTCTCAATTGAGGTTTCCTTCTTTCATAAATCCAACTCAATGGTTCTCAACCTTCCTAATGCTGCGACCCTTTTATACAGTTCTTCATGTTGTGGTGACCCCCAACCATAAAATTATCTCATTGCTACTTCGTAACTGTAATTTTGCTACTGTTATGAATCATAATGTAAATATCTGATATGCAACCTCTGTGACAGGGTTGTTTGACCCCCAAAGGAGTCTCAACCCACAGGTCTAGAACCACTGCTAGCTTATGTCAAGTTGATGTAAAACTAGCCAGCACAATGCCCAACAGTGCTATACTCAGATTAGTATTTCATTCTTTTGTAGTAGTTTAAATATTTACTTAAATACACACATGTGCCTGTATGTATACAGGTGCACACAATTATGGACATATACCAATACACGGACACCTACATGTGCCACACATGTGTACATGAACGAGGATGCACATATGCACACACGCACACACATAATGTATACACACACACAGGTGCTCGAGTGCGAACATACATAAGCATGTATACACATGCATACTCACATAGGCACACACACATGCATGTACATGCACACAGACACATGCACTCACTTATACATGTGCACAGGCACACACACAGAAGAACACTAGCTCTTAGAGAGGTCTCTTTATTACTAAGATGTCCAACTGTCTTGTGGCTGCACTGCAGGCCTTGTGTGAGATGCTAAGGCAGTCTGGTCCAGCTGCATGCCCAGCACTCTTTCTGTAGCTTTCCTGGACATAAGCAGTCGGGTGACCATCCCTGAGGCAGAATTATGGATCTCTTCAGAAAGGATTCATTGTAAAATAAAATCTCCCTCCTGAGCGTTCTACACCATTGTAAATGATGGCACTTGGGTGCTCACAGGAACTGCAGAGCAAGAACGAGTCTAATGAGAAGGCAGGGCTTGCCATTTCCAGGGGGCGGTCACTTGGAGGGGAGGAGAGTCTTCAGAGTGAACATTTCCAGGCAGTGAGGGCAGAGAAGGTGCTAGAGAGTGGCAGTCTGCTATCTGCAAGGGCAGCTGTTACCTTGTTGAGCCAGCTCCTGTACCAGTTCATGATGGAGTCCTTGTGTGGCCACACTTCCTGTCACCTGCTTCTCTGTTCCAAGCTGTCAATCCCACACCAACATAGAACTTGGATAGAATTTTCCTGCATTTACCCTGTGTTCATTCATTTTGTTGTTGTTCATTTCCATTTGAGAAACAAAAGCAGGACATTGTGTAAGGGGGGCCTGGGAGTCAGCACAGAACACACCCAGACTCCAAATTCTCAGCCCAAAGAAGACTTATTACCCTGGTTGGACAAGTGTGGGGGGGAAGGGGGGCTGCCTCTGGACAAAGACAGACAACAGGTGTTTCTGCAGGAGTGGTTTTTAAGGAGAAAAAGGGGGAAGTCTGTGCTGGGGTGGGTTGGAAAGTCCTGATTAGACAGGTTAGCTAGTGTAGCCAAATAATGGATTTTGATTGGTAGACCTTGGTGTTTTAGTCAGGGTTACGGAAGTGGCCAAATAAGGGAATAGAGCTTGTGGCTAGCTTTAGGAATGTAATCTAAGAGTTTAGCAAGGGGCAGGGAAGGGGAAAGGACAAGACCTGCTGGCACCATGTTTGTGATGTTTGGGCCTGTTTGAGAGCCCTTCACATTATACATGCTCAATGCATACTCTACCACTGAGCTGCGCCAAACAAGATCACAGCTTTGAGACTGGCAGGTTGACTTCCAAAGGCCTATAGTGGTTTAAGGGAAAGACATACATCAGTAGAGTTTCTGGTTGGGAGTGAGGCTCAGAGGTGCACAACTTGCCTTGCTAGCACAAGGACCCAAGTTTGCTCTCCAAGCACTGCAACAAATAAAAAGTGAGAGTTAAAACCAGGTGTGATGGTGTGCCACGCTGTGGTCCAAGTGCTTGGCAGACACAGGCAAAAGGATCAGGAGTTGAAGACCATCTTTGGCTAGATGAGGCCTTCTCTGAAAAACAAACAACAACAACTACAAAAACCAAACAAACAAAATCCCTAACTTGATGGTAAATATTACAACAAAAGTGCACACAAATGTAAGATGCAGCAGTGTCTCAAACTGGACAAACTCCATAGTTACAAGAGTATTGCACATATTACCACTGCAAAAAGCTTCACATAAGTTTTTGTTCTGTTCTGTTTTGTTTTTGAAACAGGGTCTCACTATGTAGCCCTGGCTGTCCTGGATCTCACTATGTAGACCAGGCTGGCCTTGAACTCACAGAAATCCGCCTGCCTCTGCCTCCCAAGTGCTGGGACTAAAGGTGTGTGCCACTCTGCTTGGCTATTACTTGGGTTCTTATCTAAACTGTGGAGAACATATTGCTATTTTCATGAAGCTGATGTGCACATAACAGCAACTTAGATAAAACCCCCAAAAAAGTACCCTGTTTTTTTAAAAAAAAAAAATCTTAGAGAGCTGGAAAGATGGCTCAACCATTAAGAGCACTTGCTGCTCTTCCAGAGGACCTGGGTTCAATTCCCATCACACACATGGTTGTTCATAACCGTCGGAAATTCCAGTTCCAGGGGATCCAATATGTTCTCTCTTCTGACCTCTGCAGGCACCAGGCATGCAAGTAGTGCACACACATGCGTGCAGGCAAAACACTCACACACAAAATAAAAGTTACATAAATCTAATAAAAATTAAAATAACCTAGTATTAAAAAAATAAGAAAAGGCCGGGCGGTGGTGGCGCACGCCTTTAATCCCAGCACTCGGGAGGCAGAGCCAGGCGGATCTCTGTGAGTTTGAGGCCAGCCTGGGCTACCAAGTCAGTTCCAGGAAAGGCGCAAAGCTACACAGAGAAACCCTGTCTCGAAAAACCAAAAAAAAAAAAAAAAAAAAATTAAAAAAAAAAAATAAGAAAAGGGTCTTAAAAGGATACATGTAGGAGTCATGGGGCAGGGATATGGGAAGAGGGAAATGAGTCAAGGCAGACCCTTGGTGAGGAATCCACATGGCTGGGTTGGTAATTCTCCAGGGCTGTGTGATGAAATGTATACAATCTGATACACACGTAGATGAATGTAGACGTAACTGAGGAAATTGAAATGCTCTGTGGAGTAACAAGTGAGGTCTCCTGAAGGCCTCTCCACTGTCACAACAAACTAAATTAGACTGAATTGGAAAGCCCAGGTTTAATGAGTAAAGGTCTGCTGGGCAATTCCCTGGCCTGCAGAGAGAAGGAGACCAGAGGCCAGAAGAACCACGTGTCTGTTTTCTGGGATGCCGCCTATGTATACCCTGTGGGAGTTGTCCTGAGCCTCTCTGGGGGAGGAGCTGTGTATGGCGGGCTTTGAAGGGGTGGGTTTAGGGAAAGAGATGGGGAAGGGAGCCAAGGTGGATCTTCCACCAGACTCCTTCCAAACACTTCACAGAAATATTTAACAGAGTTTTACAAAGGATTAAGTGACTAACTCCAACTGACCAAGATAACAAACAGAATTACAAAAATTGTTTATCAATCAATATCCAAATGTGTTCAACATTACCCTTAAGTGCTGTCTTCAAAATTAATAGTGGATATTCATTTTTATAAGATTGTTTTCAACTTCTATTTGCTGGTTTCAGCAAAGGACACATACACATTACTCTGGTCAAGGGCATGGAAGAGTAGATAATTTAAGATTACAGCTGGGCATTGCTTTAGGTTGTAAAAGTTGATTGCATGGGAAATCTAAGGCAAGTAAAGTTGATTGTTACATTGTTCTTTTAAAGGCAGGTTAACCAAACAGGCTGAGTGTAGGTAGGACAGCAGTCCTAAGTCTTGGTAAACCCAGGATGTATTAACTCCGGCTGTGAAGTCCAGAAAAGGTTCCCATGTCTGAGGAAGTAAGAGGTCTTCACAATATTGCATCACCAGCTTCTTTTTTGTGTTATTAAAGAAGCATGGCCATGGAGGTGGTCACTGATGAAGAGCTGGCCAAGTCGTGGTGTACTGTGGGGGCAGCTGTACTGTGAATAGGTGTCACCTCATTCCAGGTGGTCTCTTTGAAAAGGGGACCAAGGGGATCGCATGCCTTTAATCCCAGCACTTGGGGAAGGAGCTGTTGCGATGGGACGAGATCAGACCGCGGGGGGCCAAGCTGTCAATCATGCGAGGTCCAACAACTTGGAGGCATTGGTGAGATTGCCCTACTGATCAACCTGTTCTGCTGAGATCCATTCAGGAGAGGTTTCAGAAGTCTGCAGCCTGCAGTCTGAGGAAACAAGATCAGCTGAGGAGTTGGTGAGTGAGCAAAATGCCACCTGAGAACCCAAGAGAAGGAACTGTCCAGCCACCGAACCAGATCACCAGAATCATAAGCCCACCCTACACCGAATGGGAACAGGTAAGGAAGGCCCCATCTCCTGACTGACAGACCAGGTCTCTAGCCCCTAGGCCCCAGCCGTTGGAGCCCCAGGGACTAGGCAGCTACCTTTCCCTGCTCCCTCGCAAAGAAAAACCAACCTCCACGAACCCAACAATCACTGGAGTCATAAGCCCACCCTACATCGACTGGGAACAACCATTGGAGCCCCAGGGACTGGACAGCTGCCTCTTTCCCTGCCTCTTCGTCAAGAAAACCATCCAATGCAACACCAACAACCACCGGAGCCATAAGCCCACCCTGCACCAGTTGGGAACAGCTGCTCCCTGAGACAGAACCCACTAACACCGATTAGACTAAGCTGCTCCTGGAGAAACAGAGCCCAACAGCACAGATTCAGCCAAGAACTCCCAGTGGACCAAGACTATCAATTGGAACAAGAGAGGCAACCTCAGACACAGACACCACCTACAACAAGCAGAGGAAGAGATGAGTAGATGCCAGTGCAAAAATACAAGCAACAACATAAAGATCTATATGACAACATCAGAACCTAGCGATTCTACACCTGTGAGACCCAAATATACAAATGCAAAAGAAGCAGAAGAAGTCAATCTTAAAAATTTCCTAAAGAGGAAATGAAAAACTCCTTTAAAGAGGAATTGAAAAATTCCCATAAAGAAATGGAAGAAAAAACCAAACAAAAAATTGGAAGAAATCAAAGAAAGCCAAGAAAAAGCAATTAAACAGATGAAGAAAACAGTTCAAGATTTGAAAATTGAAATCAAGACAAAAAGACACAAATTGAGGGAATACTGGAAACAGAAAATCTGACTAAATGAACAAGAACCACAGATGCAAGCATAACCAACAGAATGAAGAGATGAAACAGAGAATCTCTGATGTTGAAGATATAATAGAGAAAATAGATTTGTCAGTCAAAGAAAACACTAAAGCCAAAATGTCCAGGAAATTTGGGACACCCTGAAAAGACCAAACCTAAGAATAATAGGGATAGAAGAAGGAGAAGAACACCAACTCAAAGGCACAGAAAATATATTCAACAAAATCATAAAAGAAAACTTTCCCAACTTAAAGAAATACCTATGAAGACACAAGAAAGTTACAGAACACCAAATAGGCTGGATCCAAAAAAAGTCCCCTCGCCACATAATAATCAAAACACTAAACATACAGAAGAAAAAATATTAAGAGCTACAAAGGAAAAAGGCCAAGTAACATATAAAGGTAGACCCATCAGAATAACATCAGACTTTTCAATAGAGACTATGAAAGCTAGAGGATCCTGGACAAATGTTATGTAGATACTAAGAGACCACGGATGCCAACCCAAACTGTTATACCCAGCAAAACTCTCAATCACCATAGACAGAGTAAACAAAATATTCCACGATAAACCAGATTTAAACAATACCTGTCCACAAATTCAGCCCTACAGAAAGCACTAGAAGGAAAAATCCAACCTAAGGAAATTAAACACACCCATGAAAACTCATGCAATAGATAATTCCACACCAGCAAATACCAAAGAAGGGAAACACAACACTACCACCAAAAAATAACAGGAATTAACAATCATTGGTCATTAATATCCATTAATATCAATGGTCTCAACTCAGCTATAAAAAGACACAAGCTAACAGAATGGATACGAAAACAGGATCCATCCTTCTGCTGCATACAAGAAACACACCCAAACTTCAAATACAGACACTACCTCAGAGTAAAGGGCTGGGCAAAGGCTTTCCAATCAAATGGACTTAAGAAGCAAGCTGGTGTAGCTATCCTAATATCTAATAAAATAGACTTCAAACTAAAATCAATTGAAAGAAATCAGAAAGGAGATTACATATTTATCACAGGGAAAATCCACCAAGATGAAGTCTCAATTCTGAACATTTATGCCTCAAATAAAAAGGCACCCACATTTGTAAAGGAAACATTACTAAAGCTTAAATCGCACATCAAATCCCACACGCTAGTAGTGGGAGATCTCAACACACCACTCTCACCAAAGGACAGATCTACCAGACTGAAACTTAACAGAGAAATAAAGGACCTAACAGATGTTATGACTCAAATGGACTTAATCAATATCTACAGAACATTACATCCTAACACAAAATAATAGACCTTCTTCTCAGCACCCCATGGAACCTTCTCGAAAATTGACCACAGGCTTGGTCACAAAGCAAATCTCAACAGATACAAAAACATTGAAATAACCTCCTGTATTTTATCAGACCACCATGCCTTAAAGTTAGATTTCAACAAAAACCAAAACCATATTAAGCCTACAATCTCATAGAAACTGAATAATGATCAACTGAATCACCAATGGGTTAAGGAAGAAATAAAGAAAGAAATTAAACATTTCCTAAAATTCAATGAAAATGAATGTACAACATATCCAAACTTATGGGACACTATGAAAGCAGTGCTAAGAGGAAAATTCATAGCACTAAATGCACGCATAAAGAAGTTGGAGAAATCTCATACTAATGACTTAACAGCA